ACCCCGGACAGAATCCCACATCGGGCTCCCGGTGCATGGAGCCTGCTTCTCCCTCTGCCTGTGTCTCTGCCTCTCTCTCTCTCTCTCTCTCATTCCCTCTCTGACTATCATAAATAAAAAAAAAAAAACACATGGACGAGGCACAGGCCAGTAAAACTTTTGTGGGCTGAGAAAAGTGCTAGAAGGTTCACAGATGCTGCCTCAACCCCTCACTCCCTACCTCCTACCCCCCGCCCCCCACAATCCCTTCATGAGCATAAGAAATAGAAAACAAGCCCAGAAAGAAGCAATTTGTTCATTGTTACATACACCATCGGCTATTCAATAAAAAGTTTGAACCCAGGGGTCTTGTCTCACTGTATTCCATGTTAAATTCTCTCCCATAAAGTCTGGCTATTCTAACTTACTAGCCTCAACAACAGTCCTTAACCTTTGAAAAATAAGCGCTACCTTTAAAAATATGCTACATGTTATATATAAATAGATCTAATCTGTGATTTGTAGGTAAGCCATTACCTCCAATTTATTTCATTGAATATTTTAATTTTTATAGGCCAGTAGCTAAGTAAACTATTGTAACTTTGCATGTCACCTCTAAAACGTGTGCTACAAAAAATAAAAATAAAAAATAAAATGTGTGCTACAGGACTCCTGGGTGGCTCAGTGGTTGAGCATCTGCCTTTGGCTCATGGTGTGATCCCGGGGTCCTGGGATCAAGTCTCGCATCGGTTTCCTTGTGAGGAGCCTGCTTCTCCCTCTGCCTATGTCTCTGCCTCTCTCTGTGTGTCTCTCATGAATAAATAAAATCTTAAAAAAAGTAATAAATTGTATGCTACATTCCAATTCAGAGATATTAAAAAGTGAGGAAGGGACACCTGGGCAGCTCAGCATTTGAGCGTCTGCCTTTGGCCCAGGGTGTGATCCTGTGAGTCCCGGGATCGAGTCCCACATCAGGCTCCCTGCATGGAGCTTGCTTCTCCCTCTGCCTATGTCTCTGCCCACCCCCTCTCTCTGTGTCTCTTATCTCATGAATAAATAAATAAAATCTTAAAAAAAAGGTGGAAAAAAAAAGAATGGAAAAATAGAGTTTTTTAATGGACTTGGATTCCCTGGATTTACATTTCTACCTAAAGTAGAAAAAAATACACTGGGCCTTAACTTGCTTTGACTTTTCTCCATCTGGAATGATCTTTTTTTCTCTAATCTTCATTGTTCATATTCTAAGCACCTGTGAGCCCAGTTAAAAGCCAGTCCCTCCAAGGAGCCTTCCCTAAACTCCCCTACAGCACTTTAATAGGAGTCCTTTAATGATATCACACACTGTAATGACAGCCAATGGCATTCAGCTTTTTCAAGATAAAGAGTATATCTTAGACCTCCTAGAACCCTCCACCCTCATGGATGCAGTCCAGTGCCTCAAACACAGGAAGTGTCCAAATATATAAATCCTAAAGTCCTTGAGCAAATGACATCTGAATGGACAAGAATTTGGCTACACTTTTTCATCCACATTCATAAGCATGTTCCTATCCATACCCTCCAGCTACGGTACTCATCAGCATGACATTCAGCGACACCTTCATTTCTTTCTGGGCTTTGCTCATTGAACAAGCTTATGGAACTAGGTTTTCTCATCTCACATCTGCTTTATAGATATAAAGGCTTTTGATGGCTGTTCAGTAATGCCAGAACTTTACATTGTACCTAGGAATTACCCCTACTAAATAGAATTTTATAAGGATCTGACTAGTCCAGAAAGACACTAGAAGTGTAGGAATGAAGGAGACAGGGATCTCCCAAGAGAAACAGTAAAGCCTGCAGTTGTGATGAATTCTCTTCAGAGGGTTAGAATCAAGACTAAGTATCAGACTCTAGACTTTCTACCCCTTTCATTTCACCCTTGAGAAAAACTGAGACTCAGTTCAATTTACCAATGTTGAATTTTTGGTTAAATTAGTTAATATTGGGACACCTGGGTGGCTCAGTGGTTGAGCATCTTCCTTTGTTTTTTTTTTTTAACTTTTTTTTTTAAAGATTTTATTTATTTATTCATAGAGACACATACAGAGAGAGAGAGAGAGAGAGAGAGGCAGAGACACAGGCAGAGGGAGAAGCAGGCTCCATGCAGGGAGCCGGATGTGGGACTCAATCCCCGATCTTCAGGATCACACCCTGGGCTGCAGGCGGTGCTAAACCGCTGCGCCACCGGGAATGCCCGAGCATCTGCCTTTGGCTCAGGTCCTGATGGCTGAGCATCTGCCTTTGGCTCAGGTCCTGATGGCTGAGCATCTGCCTTTGGCTCAGGTCGTGATCCAGGGGTCCTGGGATGGAGTCCCACATCAGGCTCCCCATGGGGAGCCTACTTCTCCCTCTGCCTATGTCTCTGCCTCTCTCTGTGTATCTCATGAATTAATAAAATCTTTAAAAAAACTTAGTTAATACTTACATCTGGAGATTTTTAAACTTTTGAGTATATCATTAGAGCATTAATGATGAATACTTTGAGGGGACTCTCTCATACTGGATAATGTACTCCCCAAAGGATCTGGGCCCTACAGTTATTCTAGGTAAATATCCTGACTTCCTAGGGTCCTAAGGAAAAGCCTAGATTCCCCTCTTCTGTGTATTCTTGAGAAAGGGCATCTGTGGGTACCAAGGTTCATCACTGGGTTGGTACGATAGTCTATGGAACATCTTATTGATGAGGCTACATCTATCACCGAACAAGTCTGATGTTTACGAGTAAGATTTTAAATACATACCAGCACAATTTTTAAGAGACAAATATTTTAAAATTTATAAACCTACTAAACAAGGGAGAATTAACTCTGTAAGACTCAATAATTTAACTTTCTTGATGTATGGGCTTCTCTTTGATTCCTACAAAGCCTGTGATAAGATGGCACCACAGAGGAGGTGGACAGGACCGTTGTTGCTGGGGAAGACAGGTCACATGAGGGCAGCAATACCAGCAGCAGCCAATGGCACAGCAGTGACTGTCCTGTTGGCCCCGTAACCCAACCCCTATTTGACCTCTGTTTCTCTGGGGCTCCATTTCCTCTGTGGCTTCCCTGGTGCAAATGATCTTCCATATAAAGTGAATACAGCAGTAATAAGCTGCCTGTAAGAGCTGTCCTGAGAATTATAAACAAGTAGACAGTATCTGCAAACTGTCCAGCACCGCTGTATAGACCATGTAAGAAACAAGACAAGAAGGGTATGTATAGACAGGAGAGGTCTGGCCTGGGAAGCACAAGACAGGTCATTTATATGCTTCACAGTAATACATGACCTCATCCTGGGGAAATTCACATGTTTTGCCTAAACTCTCTTTCTTTATAAATCTCCTGTTTGTTTTTTTTTTCTATTTGTGGTTTCTTTTTTTTTAGATTAAAAAAAACCCAACCATACACACAACCATATACATACATGTAAAGGGAGAGAACAAAACAATGTGAATCCCTGTGTGTCCATCACCCAGCCACACAGCCATTTGCCCACAGCTAGTCTTATTTTATGCACACCCCACTCATGCCTCACCCCCAGCGCCGTGGGATCATTTGAATCAAATCCCGGACACAGATAATTTCATTTTTCATGGCTTTTCAAACATATAAGTCCTATTTACTTGGCATTTCATTTTCTTGATTCAACACCTCTGATATAAACAATCTGCAGCACTAAAATGGAGGCAACATGGGAGGTACGCTTGGAGCCACAGAAAAATTTAGAAACAAATAATTTAAATTAAAAAAGGACAATGAGTCAAGGCAGAAGCAGTTAATATAGCCTGTAGGACCCTGTGCTATCATGCTGTTAGGAGCACCACCCCATCCTGGGGCTCCCTTGGAGGTCTGTCCTAGGGTACCTGCTCATGGAGGAAGGGGGCATGTCTCGCCTTTCCCTGACCAGGTCTGACTTCTCCTGCCTCTGTGCCTCCCTCCCACTACTGAACACATCACAATCACCTCCAGTACTGAGCCACTTCCCTGTAAAATCCTCCTCCATTCCTCCTGTCAAAACGCGCCTTCTCTCTGCTTTGCTCCCACAGCGCTGAATTATCCTAGCACACAGTCAGTACTCAATAAGTGCACATGCACTGAATGAATGGGACACAGGACGGATTCCATTCTGCCTTGCACCTTACTTAGTGCTTTTCACATCTGTGTCTCCCAGGGATTTTAAATTCCTCAAGGAAATAATTGTGTTAAATCAACTCTGTGTCCTCCTCGCTTCTAAGGCATTCATGGGTGCATAGTGGGTGCTTAATGAATGTCTCACAAATGGAGGGTGCTCTAGGAAAAGAGCCACGTGGCTGGAGGGTGAGGTGTCTGGAGCACGACTTCACGGAAATTAAGGGCAGACTAGCACAAATACAATGCACAGACATTTTCCCCCAGGTTTCCAGAGCTTTCTTGTCTCAGGGAAGCAAATTTGGGCTTGTCATCATAAAAGCAAAAGAATTTGGGAGTGGTTTCCTTCATCCAAATGACCCAGCAACACCTGCCTCGAAACCATAATCGTGTTTTTCTCTCCCACCTTCTCCCAAGGTGAAGGCTACACTAAGTTACTGCCCATAGGATGGAATTACAGGTCTGAATTGGAGACAAAGGTTCTTTATGCTGTGTCTGGTCATTAATTAGCTGCTGGAAACTTCAAGACAGGGCCATTAGCATGCTCATAAACCTTTTATTTTAAATGTTTTCGCTTAGCCGTGATTCTGATGTGACTCTCCTTGTAGGCTGGACATAGGACATTTGTTTCTTAACATTTCTGAGGCTCATTAACTACTCTATCCCAGCGGCTCATTAACTAGCCCATTAGGGATTTCACTTCATTCCGGCAGAAGCCTCCACTTGCCCTCGCAGAGCCTTTGAGGGCGCCTATCTGAGGCCACCTAATTGGGAATGGTGTGAGGCTCGCTGCGAGGCAGGGGCGAGAGGGGGCTTTGTAGGTCTCCCTGGAGGCTGGAGTGGCAGTGAAGGGGTGCGCTCACCTACCTGCTATTCTCCCAATGGGCATGGCGTGCTCCTCGGGTGGGGAGACAGACACCATGATGTGGTTCATGTACGCCAGGTCTTCCCGATGGGAGAGGTTGATGGGCTTCCCTTCCCTATGAAGCCCGTCCTCGGAGAGCCTGGACTGTTTGAAATCCACGGAGTGCCGGGGGTTCAGGATCAGAGGGTGCATGATGGGACTGGGCATCAGCTGGATCACGCGGGTGCTCTCCTGCCGGGGGCTCGATGGCTTCGGGTGAGGCTCAGAGGATGGTGGGCAGTGGTTATTCTCCATGGGAGACACTGACAGGGGGTAGGACTCCTGGTGGTTGTTCTCCTGGTGGAGCCTTGGCCCCTGGGCCCTCTCAGCCGGGGAGAGGCGGCGGATCATGTTGTCCAGGGGGGACCGGAGGGGCCGCTGCTCGGGGTCGGGAGAAGGCCGGTGATTGGCTGTGACAGGTGATCTAGAACGGTGCAACAGTTCAATGGTGGGGGGGTTGTGGTGCACATTCTCCACTGGTGGCCTTGGGGTCCTCTGGACACAGTTATCTGTGGAGCAGAAGGAGAGACAATCACTGACCCCAGTGGACGGTTGGGAGAGGGACCCTGCTGCAGTCCTAGAGGTAATGAACAGTGGAGCCCAGGCATGTGCCGGGCAGACCTTTCATCCCTTGAGACGGAGTGTCTTTCCCACTGCTTAAAAAAACAACTGAAGTACACATACTTGAAATTCTTTTCCTACACTAGACAGGCTAAGAATGTCTACAAGCATTCCATTAATCACTTACTAGTAGCTTATAAACACAAGGAAGCCAAACTCGTGTCCTCTAGCTCTTTGTTTCTTGACTCTCTGACGTTACTTTTGGGGTCCTTATGGGTTTCTTTCTAGACACTCACTGACTTGTATTTTCAGAGCTGATTTTACATATTCTCTACCTCTGGGACGTTGTTGGTGGTGTTAATGATACTACTACTACTACTACTACTACTACTACTAAGTTAGTTACTATATCCTTGGTACTGGATTACATTGTTTAAAATGCATAATACTCCTAAGTAGAACATGCTGATACCAGTACTCTTATTTTACAGGTGACAAAATGAAAGTGTACAGAAGTTAAGCAACTTTCTCAAAAAAACACAGTTAGGGAATGAGACCCAGACTCCAGTAAGAATCTAGAATCTAGAATCCATTATGATATTGCCCTTTTGCTATCTACAGAAGCCCAGGGCAAAAGTTATAGCAAAACTTGCTTTAAGTATGGACAGTGGGCCTAATTTACAGACTGGCAATCTTGTACTTGAAGGAAAATTCAGGATCACTTTGTTTCTGAGTGCCCTTCAAAACGCTCAGAGACAAGCAGAGGTAAGTTAAGGAAAAGGAGGGATGAACACCTCCAATGATGCCTCTGTACCATCCCACTTGAACTTTCAAGTGGGTGATATCCGAGCGAAGACAACGTTGAAAATGTGCACAGCTCAGCAACAGAAGTAGTTCTGTGGGCTGGGTTGAGGGAGGGACCAGCACACACGTGGCTTTAGGAGTCCCTGTTTAGGGGGAGGAAGGGTGCAAGAATCTGCCTACAAAAAATGGAGCTTTCCGCAGTGCATCCCACTCATCTTAATGAGGTTTCTCTGGTCACATCTGTTCCCAGAGCTGTCTCACCAAAAGGATGCACACACTTTCAGGTCTTTGTTCTGGTCTCTGTTCAAAGGTTTGTCTATGATTCTAAGTAAAGCAAATCAAAGATACCCCCTTTGTCCATTATGCCAATATCTCTATGAAGAACATATAAAGGGATCCAGGAATTTGATAGGGTTAGTACACAGAGATTGAGGTGGTAATGTCACAAAGTTTTACACAGGATTCATAGAAAAATGGGGACTCTTCTAGCTCTCAGTTATATGAGAGAGCAAACAAAGAAATATTCATGATCACTTAATGAGCATCTGCTTGAAGGCAAAAGGTTTATTTTGTAGCTACTGTGTAACCAACTGCCGTGAATTTAAAAGTACTTATTGGGGATCCCTGGGTGGCGCAGTGGTTTAGCGCCTGCCTTTGGCCCAGGGCGTGATCCTGGAGACTCAGGATCGAATCCCACGTCGGGCTCCCGGTGCATGGAGCCTGCTTCTCCCTCTGCCTATGTCTCTGCCTCTCTCTCTCTCTCTCACTGTGTGCCTATCATAAATAAATAAAAAAATTTAAAAAAGTACTTATTTATTGGAATAGCTATCAATGGGAGGCTAGCTTAATAAATTATACCATATCTCTAAACAATGGAGGCTCAGACAGATGTAAAATGGAATAAAGAGTGTCTTAATATTCTGCTAAGGACTGGTCTCTAGGCTCTATGATTAGGGATGCAAGGCCAGGTGAAATATTCTGGTTTGCTACCACCTTTCTATGATAAAGGAGAGGAGTATTCTAGTTTCAGGAAAAGACAGAGTGGTTTGTATCAAACTAACCTCCCTACATATACAAATGATGGAATCTGGATACCATACATTTACAAAAGTTATTTGAAGGTGCTGGAGAAAACTGAAGGGGATTTTACTCTTGAAAGAAGAGAACTGCACAAGTGAGATCCAAATTCATAGAGCCCTGAGGGTCCTCCTTAGTCCCCCTAGCAGAGGCAGCTGGAAAATGAACTGGAAGTTGTATCTGTCAAGGAATAGAGTATGAGGCTGCCAGAATGGCAAAAAATTGAGAAACCAAATCCCATAAAAGGGAGAGCCTCAGGGACAGTAGCCACTAAATTGGCAAATAAAGTTCCCTCAAATCCTTAACATGTGCTCCTGAATAGCATGTGGGGTGTGTGTGTGTGTGTGTGTGTGTGTGTGTGTGTGTGTGTGCATGTGCGTGCACGTGTGGAGTAGGGGGCAGGGCTTCTAAGGAGCTCAGTGAAAAGCAACAGCTGTATGGCTGAAAGATAAGAGCAGGAATGTCAGGTACTGGCCACTGTATTGGAGACAGAATTCAGAATTTCAGTCCTAGCAACAAAGGCTCTATAAGCATCTCCGGCTCTTCATTAACCCAGAATAGCCACACTTTAGGAATAAGGGCTAGCTCCAGGACAAAGGGATTTGCCTGAGGGCTAAAGGCAAAATTGACAAAAATCTGCCCTAACCAAATGTTAAGACTACAAACTCAAAGTGATTGGCTAGTCGTTTACCTGCTAGAGCAAAAAATCAACATTCTTCAGAGGAATATAACATAATCTAGAATCTCTATGATGTACCATCTATAATGTCCAGTATTCAATAAAAATTTTCTGGATATGTGGCAAAAACAAACAAACAAACAAAAAACCCAGAAAAAATGTGACCCCATAATCAAGAGGAAAGGCAGTCAACAGAAACAGACTCTGAGATCATCTAGATGTTGGTATTAGCAAAAGAGAACCTTAAAATAATGATTAGAAATAAGTGTAAACACTTGAAGGAAATGGTGGTCATGATGAGATATGATAGAGACTGTCAGAAAAGAAATGGACATTTAAAGAAGATTCAAGTACTAAATAGACACAGTATCTAAAAGATTGGACTGGATGTACTTAATGGCAGATTAGGCATGACAGAAGGAAGGGTTAGTAAATTTGAAGACAGATCAATAAAAATTAAAAACAAATAAATAAACAGATCCTCAGTGACCTGTGGAACAATATTAAATGGTCTAATGGACATGTGATTGAAATCCAAGAAGGAGAGAACAGAAAGAATGGGACCAAACAAAATAAATAGCCCCCAAAACCCTCCAAACTGAATAATGACCAAATGGTCCCCAAATCTGGTAACAACAAAAACAGGAAACTTTAAGATCCAAGATGCTCAGTGAAAACCAAGCAGGATAAATACAAAAACTACATCCAGTCATTTCATAGTCAAACTGCTGAAAGCCAAAGATAAAGAGAAAAATCCTGAAGCAACCAGACAGGAAAAAAAAAAAAAAGGTACACTACGTACAATGGAAAAGTTATACTAATTACAGCTAACTTCTTTTTTTGAACACCCAGAGAAGGAGAGAAAGAGCGAGAAAGTGCAAACATGTGCACTAGAAAGGTATGGATGGAGACCCATAGGCTGAAAGACACTTAAGAGCCACATCAGCCACATCAACCATCTGCAGTGTAGAGACTCGTTTGGATTCTGATTCAAGGAAACTGTAAAAACATTGTACAAGATAGGTGGAAACAATGCAAACAGTACAAAGATATCTCATGATATTGAAGAACTGTCAGGTGCCGTGATGGCTTTGTGATTATGATTTTATAAAGGGTCCTCGTCTTTTCGGACCTGTACTGATATATTTACAGATGAAACTGTGTATCTGGAATTTGCTTTCAATTAATTTGGGACGGTGAAGCAGAGGGTAGGTGGGGGCACAGAGGAAACAAGATTGGTCATGAGTTGATCATTGAAGCTGGTGACAGGTACATGGTGGTTTGTTAAATAATTCTCTCTAGTCTTGCAGAAGTTTGATATTTTCCACTGTAAAAAGCATTTCTTTTCTTTTCTTTTCTTTTTTGCTTTTGTTTTCAAGTACTCAGTCAACCTTGCAAGGATATAGGTTGGGATAACAAGTCCTAAATTTTTCATTTTAACCCAACAGCAAATAAATGCTTACAAAGTACTTAACTGATTAGGTCTTTTGAGTTAATTTTAATGGCTGAGATGACTAGTATGGCAGAAATGACCTGCAATCTTTGGGAGATGAGGCAAGTCTTCTTTTCATGGTCAATCTGGACTTCTGCTGTACCCTCCCCCAACCCCGATGAATTGATCTCTTCTCTGTCACAGAACATGATCATGATAGTCAACTACTTAAGACAGTTGCATTTTCTTCTATATGCCATTGACAGAATATCTCCCTTTACTTAAAAGCTTATTAAGGTTTAAAAATACTTAAGGATGATGAAGACCATGTACTGAAAAATTCTACTTCCTGATTCCATTTCCTGTCTTACAAATCTCAAAACGGACACAGGCGTTGGCCCGTAGTCTGGTCACCTGCTGGCCCTCTTTGATGTCCTGGGTTTCAAGGCTCATTGCATGGGTGTGCACTCGGGGCAAGCCTTAGGAAGTCTGGGCGGACTCTGAGAGGAAGAGTTTTCATGCCAAGGGTAAAAGAGGAACTGATGTAATGTCCTGGAGAGATTTCACTCTCTGTTCCTGCCCAGATCTTTGGGAACAATGAAGGAAGGAGACAGTGCTCTGGATAATCCAACTCAGATTTTACTTTTGACTCAGGGGTCCAGGCAGGAACAGGACTTGGAGGAGATTGATTTATTTATTTCTCTGCAGACAGCACTCAAAGAGGAAGTACTTGATGAAGTTGATAACATTAATGGTAGAGAACTGGATCCAAGGTATTTAATTCCAGGCTCCTGGTGGTCTGGGCACAACCACTGTCAAGGCTGAACGGCCTGCAAGGAGACCTTCCAAGCTTTGTTGCAGTTTGCAAAGCATATGCCCACATACGGAGCAGGCTCTGACGTTCCTCCCCTATTGCCTGCTGCCCCTGTTATTATAAAGTTGGCAGCAGAGTATGG